AGGCAACAGAGGGCAGCAAGGGGGAAGGAGAGCACCCCTCAAAGATGGGGGTGCGAGGGTCACCACGAGAAGCACCTACAGCGACTATGCTCTTCTCCGCTGCAAGGAGGGCCTTCTCGAGGAGGTCGACGGTGAGAGTGGTGGGACAGACTGCGAGAAAGTGGTCCCTGACGACGCGAAGGGAGTCAGGGAGGCGCGCGACTATGTAGTAGAGAGCAATGTACGTGGGGGGGGGGGTTCTTAGCGCAGAACTCAGCAGGAAGGGCGGCGCGGTAGCGAGTGTCACTAGTGCGGAGGTGCGTAATGAGGTCAGCGACAGTGGGAAAGGCAGAGAGGTCAGGAAAGAGGTAGGGAAGCATGAGACGGCTCAGTGCAGCAGTGGCAGGGGAGGAGTAGCGCGCAACTACAGCGTCGTACAAGGTCGAAGCACTCTTGTACTGACTAAAGTGCGCACGCTCAGAGGTAGGGAGGTGGCGACGCACAGCAAGACGTGCAGCAGCATCGCGGGTGGCCCACTTAGAGCGGACAGCGGGATCAGCATCAGCAGCAGGAGCAGGAGAGGCGCCAGAGGTGAGGTCAAAGAGAGAAAGGTCGTCAGCCCTGTCGCATTGTAAGAAGAGCTGCAGGTCGTCTAACCAGACCTCAAAGTCAATGGCGCGACCCTCAGCATCAAAAGCTAGGACACTAGGGGTAGCCATGGCGACGACAGCGACGCAGTGCAAGCAGTAGGGAAAGAGCTCGCAGTGTCAGTGGGACTGTGCTCACCAGGCAGGGCAGGTCGTGCAGCTATGCAGAAAGGCGGCTCAGCGACCAGGCGGCTCGGGTGCACAGCTGCTCGGCTCCCGGGCGGCTCGGCGGCTGGGCGGCTCGGGCGCAGAGCGGCTCGGCTCCCGGGCGGCTCGGCGGCTGGGCGGCTCGGGTGCAGGTCGGCTCGGCTCCCGGGCGGCTCGGCGGCAGGGCGACTCGGGTCCCGGGCGGCTTGGCTGCTGGGGCGGCTCGGCCGGGAGATGCAGGGGCAGGGCCGTCAGGTGCAGCGTCGGGCCGGCAGGTGCAGCGTCGGGCCGGCAGGTGCAGCGGCGGGCCGGCAGGTGCAAGTGGCGGGCCGTAGGGTGCAGCGGCGAGGCCGTCAGAGGCGGCGGGCCGATGGGTGCAGCGGCGGGCCGGCAGGTGCAGCGGCGGGCCGGTAGGAGCAGCGGCGGGCCGGCAGGGTGCAGCGGCGGGCCGTAGAGTGCAGCGGCGGGGCTGTCGGCAGTAGAGGCGGGGCCGCGTCAGGGGAGGCGGCGTGGCCGCGTCAGGGGAGGCGGCGGGGCCGCGTCAAGGGAGGCGGCGGGGCCGCGTCAGGAGAGGCGGCGGAGCCGCGTCAGGGGAGGCGGCGGGGCCGCGTCAGGGGAGGCGGCGGGGCCGCGTCAAGGGAGGCGGCGGGGCCGCGTCAAGGGAGGCGGCGGGGCCGCGTCAGGGGAGGCGGCGGGGCCGCGTCAGGGGAGGCGGCGGGGCCGCGTCAAGGGAGGCGGCGGGGCCGCGTCAGGGGAGGCGGCGGGGCCGCGTCAGGGGAGGCGGCGGGGCCGCGTCAAGGGAGGCGGCGGGGCCGCGTCAAGGGAGGCGGCGGGGCCGCGTCAAGGGAGGCGGCGGGGCCGCGTCAAGGGAGGCGGCGGGGCCGCGTCAGAGGAGGCGGCAAAGCCGCGTCAGGGGAGGCGGCGGGGCCGCGAGTGAAAAGGCGACCCGAGGGGTCGCTAAAAAAAAAATGGGCGCGCCTCGGGGCGCGCCTCGGGGCGCGCTTCGGTGGGCCCAGAAAACGGTCCTAAGGTAGGACCCGCTCTATACCATGTGAAGCAAGGAAAACAGGAAAAATGAAATGACTAAGGAAAGATTGGGTACAAATACAACCCTAGAAACCCTGTACCCCATATGTGCTACCCCACTATAGCCTACAGCAACTATGTCATATAAATCTGACAGATCCTCCCACTCATCTGCAGAGGATGAATCTACTCTGATTGAACACTACACGAGTCATCCTAAAAGCTTGATAGCAATAGATTATCAGCATCAACACTGGTCCCTGCTAGCTTGTCATTCTTCTTGCCCGGTCTTTCTACATCTTTCACCCATTTTTACTCCATCTTCCCCCCACCTTCCACCCATCGTTTCCCCAACGCCTTCTCATTTCCCTTCCCCCATCTTTGCACCGTCAGAAACTGAACCGGGGCACGGTGGGAGTGGTGGCGAATCAGCCCACGGAGACCTTTTGAGTCGACTCAAAGGTCAATCCCCCCCAATTCCCCCCCATCTCCATCTTCCCCCGATCTGTGTGCCATCAGAGGCTGGACGGGGGAACGGTGGGAGTGGTGGCGAATCAGCCCAAGGAGCAGGCTGGCTGCCTCGATATCAACGCCTCCATTAAGGTGAGTGAACCGTGAGTCACATGGTTACTTGCACTGTTAGGATGTGTTACAGCATAAGGTGGCGGAAATTGGTGTGGTAAATTTTGGTGCTATAAGGTTAACTGTGGTGTCACAAGGTTAAAGCTCGAGGCCCAAATTAAGATTACTAATCTTGCGCAAGGTTGAGTGCTGGGGTGGGGGGTGGGGGGTGGGGGTGGTGAACGCAAAGTTGAGGGAGGGGGTGGCCAGTCTGATTTCGCCTAACCTAACGTAACCAGATTTTTTCCAGGGTACAGTACAAAAAATGCCCTGTGCAGGCCCGCGGCTCAAATCGTGGATCGTGCGGGTCAAGCTTACCAAATATGACGGTGTGTTTCTTTAGAAGGGGTTTTGGTGATTGGTGTTTTGGGATGTGCGAAGGTCACTGATTTGCCAGTGCAAGGGAACTGAGAGTGCGAAAATAGTAAGGCCATGGGTGAAACCAAGCAACCCGCTTTCCCAAACTCCTCAACTTCCTTTGCTCGGCTCCCCCAACCAATGCTCAACATAGAATGGCTGAACAACATGGGCTGCGGGCAGTGAAGCACACTGCATTCCATTGAACATAACAGTGAAGCACCAAAGGAATGTCACTGTTAATACCGTCCATCCCTTTTGACAACACACATGTGCTTCAACTCGCAATCTCTGCCCTGCACGCAATGTCATGGCATGCGATGTGATCAATGGCACTGCTATGTTACAACATTGTATGGCATGTTACCACATGGCATGTGACCCATTACACTTGTATCTACAACGTTGTATGGCATGGCTTGCTGCGGCATGGCATGGTGTGAATTTATTGACACCGCATGAGTGCAGGGAGCTCGCTTCGTGCGCTTCTGCGATGCGTTCAACATCCCCATCCTCACATTCGTCGACGTCCCAGGCTTTCTCCCAGGTATCATGCTTCCATTCCATGGTTCCATCTATCGTCACATGGAACTGTGCTTGAGTATATATACATATACATACGTGTTCCTGTGTGTGTTCGCGCTTATCTGCCTGCCCCTGCACGGAGGTGATTTTGTAGTCGACTGAAGACTCACATCCGGCTATAGTCACACAATCACAGGGGCATCATCAGGCAGACAGGGGGCAAAGCTGCTGCACGAATTTATACATGTGCATGATTGCTCTGATGTGCGTTGATGTGCGTCCTTGCGTGTCCATGCATGCTTATGTCATGTGTGCCAAGAGCACTACGGAATTATCAGGCAGGGGGCGAAGCTGCTGCACCCACTACTGATACATAAATGCGTATTATGTGTGTGCTGTGCGTCTCTGCCCGTGCAGGCACGGAGCAGGAGCACAATGGCATCATCAGGCAGGGGGCGAAGCTGCTGTACACGTATGCGGAGGCCACGGTGCCCAAGCTCACTGTCATCACTCGCAAGGCGTATGGCGGGGCATACGACGGTGAGACAAGCAGGAAGAGGCGTATGAGGGGCATATGAGTGTGAGTGTGTGTGTGCGCGCGCGCGCGTGCGCGATGGTGTCCATGTGTAGAGATGGGGCTATACAGTGGTATTGTTCCTTACTGCACATGCAGAGATCACGGGTCCAAAGCACACTGTCTTTACTCGCCAGGCGTAATGTAGCGTATGTCGGTGAGAGAGGTGGGTGCGTTGAGGGTGTTGAGTGCCTGTTTAAGGTGGTGGGTGTGCTGCCTGCATGCATACATGCTTCTGCCCGACCTCACTGCCCGACCTCACTGCCCGACCTCACTACATGACCTCACTGCATGACCTCACTGCATGACCTCACTGCATGACCTCACTACATGACCTCACTGCATGACCTCACTGCATGACCTCACTGCATGACCTCACTGCATGACCTCATTGCATGACCTCACTGCATGACCTCACTGCATGAGCTCCAAGGACTTGCGGGGTATCGCTAGCCTCTTCTCCTTTCATCTCAACCTTTCTGCTCCCGTTGCTCCTGTCAACCACCTCCCTCTTTCCTGCAGTCAGGACCTCTAAGCACCCGAGGTGCGACACCAACTATGTTACCTTGCCGTGCTTCTCACCTCGCCCCTCCTCTCTCGACCTCCCACCCCACCCCACCCCACCCCATCCCACCCCACGCGGTGCAGTGATGAGCTCCAAGCACCTAAGGGGCGACGCCAACTACGCGTGGCCATCTGCAGAGATTAAAGTGATGGGAGCCAAGGTGAGATGCCTGTCAGACTTCACATGTGTGTGCGGGTGCTTCGCCTGTCCTGGCCTGGCCACTTAGCTAGGTGTGCCGCACAACGCCCGGTATTCGCCGCAGCATTCTGCTAACTTTCGTTTCTTGTGCTTATACAACACGTGATCGTTAGTACCATCCAGTTTGGGGGTAATGGCGGCGGACGCATTGGCACCACCGGTGCGGCGTCGCAAGTGGCTACTCCCAGCGATGGAGCGTCGCTCGGCGTTTTAGCTGGAAGGGATTAGGCAAGTCATGTTTGCAACCCCACTTGTGGGAATTTGTGCAGGACAGGATGAGGGGATGGGAAGCGAGGAAGAGGAGGTGATGGGGGAAGGAGAAGAGGCAGTGGTGGGGGCGGGGCGGAGCAGAGCGACGAGCTCAGAGGCCGCATGGGCGTTGAAGGCCGCCCACTGCACGTCCTCCCTGCCGCCCAGCAGCTGCTGCAGTAGCCTTGGCGCCTGCTCGCCCACCTAGTGGGGAGAGGGGAGGGGGGAGGAAGACAGGGAAGAGAAGAGGGCTTGCTTGCAGGGGGCATTGGGAGGGGTTTGCAGAGGGGAAGGAGAGGTTGCAGAAATGAAGGACAGCTGGAGAGCATTCCAAATGGTGAGCGTACCAGGGGAACGGCAGGAATGGTGGATGGAGGCGCATCAAAGGGAAGGAGGTGTAAACGGTATGGAGGAGCAACAAGGAACGGAGGCGGCGTGAGCAGAGTGCGGAGGTGCAGAGCAGAGAGGGGCTGACTTGGTCAGGAAGAGGCAGCAGGTTGATGAGCGCCACCAGCACCACCGCCGCCACGTTCACATCCACCGCCGCTGCCGCCCCCGCGCCCACTCCCATGCCCACACCCACCCCCACACGCATCAGCTTCTCGCCACTGGCAGTAGTAGCAGGTGTGGGCACGGTGGCAGGCGCGTGGGCCCCTGTGCGAGGGGACAAAAGCGCCCCACACACCACATGCTGTGCCCGCCCCTCTTCACTCTCCCGCCCACACGCCGCCTGCTCGTGCCCTTGCTGTCGCAACCACGTGCTCCGATCGCCCTTGGTCATCCCGCCTGCCTTCAACCCGCCCCATGCATCCCGTTTCACTCCACCCCCACGCCCACCCGCCCTCCCATTCCCATCACTGGCAATGCTTGCGCTGCCGCTGCCGCTGCTGCGTGCAACCCGCTCAACCCTCCCCCTCGCAGCCGCTGCTGCAGCTGTTGTGGCAGGGGATGGGGCGCCAGCAGCACAGACAGGGGCAGTAGCGGTGGTGGCAGGTGGAACAGCGGTGGTTGCAGGAGCAGGCAGGGCAGCGAGGGCGGGAGCGGGGTGCTGGAGGAAGGAGCGCGGCACGGCAGTGATGGCACCGCCGTGCGGCCAGAGGGCTGCCTCGACGTGCAGCAGGCAGCGGCACGCGTTGAGCCGTGTGGCGGGCGATGGATGGCGCGTCAGACTCACCACCGCCGCCAGTGCTGCTCCCCCGCCCATGTCTGTAGCACGCGTGGGGAAGAGAGTGCGTAGGGGCGGGTTGCGGGAGGGAGAGGGAAAGGGAGAGGAGAGCGGGAGAGGGGGGAAGAGGGAGGGGTTGATGAGGAAAAGCGGGAAGAGTGTGTGTGAGTGAGCCAGCTGATTATGGAGTGAGAAGACGGTGGTTTGAGCCGACGGCGAGACAGGCATGCAGGAGCAGGGCCGCCATGCACACACGCAGCAAGCAGCACAGCCCAGCCCAGCCCAGCCCAGCACAGCACAGCCCAGCCCAGCCCACACGCACCTACAAGAGCAGCGGCCTGCTGCCGGTTGCCCCTGACAACTGCTGCGAGGGCGAGCAGAGCAGCATCGGTGCAGCGGGGCGACGAGGAGAGCAGGCGTGTGAGCGACAGCAGCCCACCTGCCGCTGCTAGCTGCCTGCTGCTGTGGCGAGTGCACACAGTGTGCTGGCACACTGGCTGCCACCTAGTGGGGGGGTGTGTGGAGTTGGGGGGTGGAGGGGTGGGGACAGGGGGAGGGGGGTGCTTTTGAGGCGCCCCAAGAGCTGCCTGCTGCTGCGGTGAGTGCACACAGTGTGCTGCCAAACTCGCTGCCACACTCGCTGCCAAACTCGCTGCCCCACTCGCTGCCACACTCGCTGCCCCACACGCTGCCACCTGGTGTAGAAGGGAAAGGGGGGGGTGGGTGGGGGAAGGGGGAGGGAGGGGGAGAAAGCAAGACTGGGGAGTGCAGAGGAGACCTAGGCTTGAGAGGTGAGGAAGGAATATGCATGGTGGTATGCGGTGCGAGGTTGACAACACACTGTGTGGTTACTGTGCAGTGCGCGAGGCGAGGAATCTGCACGTGTACATTATTGCTTGGTGATTCCTTTCCATGCTCGTAGTGTGGTTACCAGTCTGGTTACCACAATCTGGTTACCACAGTCTGGTTACCACAATCTGGTTACCACAGTCTGGTTACCACAATCTGGTTACCACAGTCTGGTTACCACAGTCTGGTTACCACAGTCTGGTTACCACAGTCTGGTTACCACAGTCTGGTTACCACAGTCTGGTTACCACAGTCTGGTTACCACAGTCTGGTTACCACGATCTGGTTACCACAGTCTGGTTACCACAGTCTGGTTACCACAGTCTGGTTAGGTTACCAGTCTGGTTACCACAATCTGGTTACCACAGTCTGGCTACCACAGTCTGGTTACCACAGTAACAAGATGCACAATCACCTCTGCGACTGTCTCGTTGGGGGAGGCGAGTAGGGGCGGCAGCAGGTTGAGGGCAGGGGAAAGCCAATCGCCTGCAGCAGTGCTGCCACGTGGCAGCACATGAGTGGACTGGAAGATCAAACGCAGTGACCTTGCAGCTGCCTCCACCACCTGCGTGTTAAAAATATGTGCAGAGAGGTTCAGAGAGGTGCAGAGAGGTTCAGAGAGGTGCGAAGTGGGGCAGACACGGGCGTGCATGTGGTGTGGTGCCCATGGCATGTCCATCCGTGGCATGTGGACATGGCATGGCATGGCAGCATGCGGGCATCACCTTAGCATGCGGGCATCACCTTGGCATGCGGGCATCACCTTGGCATGGGGGTGCAGCAAGCAGCGCAGCAGCGGCAGCACGGCCCCAGCAGCCAGCACGGCATGCACGCCCTCCGGCAGCCCGCACGCCAAACTACCCACCGCCGCCGCCATCTGCTGCACCTCCTCCGCGCCCCACGCCCCCTCTTCCCCCTCCGCCCCCCCCATTCCCTCTAGCATCGCCACCAGCCTGAAGGGCACAACGCACGGCAGACAGACAGGCATGGCAGGTAGGAAGGCAGGCAGGCAGGCAGGTAGGAAGGCAGGCAGGCAGGCAGGTAGGAAGGCAGGCAGGCAGGCAGGTAGGAAAGCAGGCAGGCAGGCAGGTAGGAAGGCAGGCAGGCAGGCAGGCAGGTAGGAAGGCAGGCAGGCAGGCAGGTAGGAAGGCAGGCAGGCAGGCAGGTAGGAAAGCAGGCAGGCAGGCAGGTAGGAAGGCAGGCAGGCAGGCAGGTAGGAAGGCAGGCAGGCAGGCAGGTAGGAAGGCAGGCAGGCAGGCAGGTAGGAAGGCAGGCAGGCAGGCAGGTAGGAAGGCAGGCAGGCAGGCAGGTAGGAAGGCAGGCAGGCAGGCAGGTAGGAAGGCAGGCAAGCAGGCAGGTAGGAAGGCAGGCAGGCAGGCAAGCAGGCAGGCAAGCGCGAAGGGCAAGCCCCCCCTAAGAAAAGGGGTCAAGGAAAAACGGACGGAAGGCATGGCGGCCCCACATGGAAGGGACCCACTTCCCAGAGACCCACACCACTGCCAAGAAACCCAAACCACTCTCCACCGCACTGACTCAAACCACTCCCCACCGCACTGACTCAAACCACTCCCCACCGCAGTGATTCAAACCACTCACCACTGCACTGACTCAAACCGCTCCCCACTGCAGTGACTCAAACCACTTCCCACCGCACTGACTCAAACCACTCCCCACCGCACTGACTCAAACCACTCCCCACCGCACTGACTCAAACGACTCCCCACCGCACTGACTCAAACCACCCCCCACCGCACTGACTCAAACCACTCCCCACCGCACTGACTCAAACCAACCCCCACCGCACTGACTCAAGCCACTCCCCACCGCACTGACTCAAACCACTCCCCACCGCACTGACTCAAACCACTCCCCACCGCACTGACTCAAACCACTCCCCACCGCAGTCACTCAAACCACCCCCCACCGCACTGACTCAAACCACTCCCCACCGCACTGACTCAAACCACTCCCCACCGCACTAACTCAAACCAACCCCCACCGCACTGACTCAAACCACTCCCCACCGCACTGACTCAAACCACTCCCCACCGCACTGACTCAAACCACTCCCCACCGCACCGACTCAAACCACTCCCCACCGCAGTCACTCAAACCACTCCCCCACCGCAGTCACTCAAACCACTCCCCACCGCAGTCACTCAAACCACTCCCCACCGCAGTCACTCAAACCACTCCCCACCGCAGTCACTCAAACCACTCCCCACCGCAGTCACTCAAACCACTCCCTACCGCAGTCACTCAAACCACTCCCCACCGCAGTCACTCAAACCACTCCCCACTGCAGTCACTCAAACCACTCCCCACCGCAGTCACTCAAACCACTCCCCACCGCAGTCACTCACAGAATCGGATGGAGTGGGAACGGAGATGCGGAAGCAGCAGGGCGCAGAAAAAGTAGGGCGCGGGGTGGGGCGGTGGTACGGAGAAAGGGCCGCGTGCAGCGCGCAGCCCTGGTTTTGGGGAAGGGAGGGAGCCGGGAAGGAGGCGCGGGAAAGAGGGCGGCGCGGCGCGCGGAGGAGGGGGGTGCGCAGAGAAAAGTTGCGCGAGGAGGAGGGAGGCGCAAGAGGAGGGAGGCGCGTGGGGAAGAGAGGTGGTGCACCTGGGCGCTGCCCCCCTCTCCCCGAGGCACGCTCCCCCCTAGTCCCTCTCGCGCTGCCCTTGTGACCCCCGCGAGTCGCGCGCGCGACCTTTTTTTTTTCGCGCGCGCGACCCGGGCCACGTCGCGCTGGCCTTACGGCCGCGTCGCGCCGCCCTCGCGGCTCTGCTGCGTCGCGCCGCCCTCGCGGCCCCCTAGCGCCGCCCACGCGGCCCCGCCGTCCCCTCTGCCGGCCCCGCCGCTACATCCGACGGCCCTGCCGTCCCCTCTGCCGACCCCGCCGCTGCACCTGACGGCCTCGCCGTCCCCTCTGCCGGCCCCGCCGCTACACCCGACGGCCCCGCCGTCCCCTCTGCCGGCCCCGCCGCTGCACCCGACGGCCCCGCCGTCCCCTCTGCCGGCCCCGCCGCTGCACCCGACGGCCCCGCCGTCCCCTCTCCCGGCCCCGCCGCTGCTTCACACGGCCCCGCCGCTGCACCTGAAGGCCCCGCCGTCCCCTCTGACGGCCCCGCCACTACGCCTGCCGGCCCCGCCACTACCTCTGACGGCCCCGCTGCTGCACCTGCCGGCCCTGCTGCTGCACCTACCGGCCCCGCCACTGCACCTGACGGCCCCGCCGCTGCGTCTCCCGGCCCCGCCACTGCATCTCCCGGCCCCGCCGCTGCATCTCCCGGCCCCGCCGCCCCAGCAGCTGAGCCGCCCCCGCAGCCGAGCCGCCCCAGCAGCCGAGCCGCCCCAGCAGCCGAGCCGCCCCAGCAGCCGAGCCGCCCCAGTAGCCGAGCCGCCCCTGCAGCCGAGCCGTCCGAGCCGCCCGAGCCGCCGAGCCGCCCGAGCCGCCCAGCAGCCGAGCCGCCGAGCCGCCTGAGCCGCCCGAGCCGCCTGCACTGCCTTGTCTGGTGAGCACTGAGCTTTACTATCCGCACTGCCCTCACCCTACTGCTGTCATGGCTACCCCCAGTGTCCTCACCTTTGACGCTGAGGGCAGAGCCATCGACTTTGACGTGTGGGTAGACGACCTGCTGCTTTTCCTACAGTGCGACAGAGCTGACGGCCTCTCTCTCTTTGATCTCACTTCTGGTGCCTCTCCCGCCCCTGCTGCTACTGAGGATGCCACTGTTCGCTCACAGTGGGCCACACGCGATGCTGCTGCACGTCTTGCTGTGCGTCGCCACCTCCCTCCCTCTGAGCGTGCACACTTTGGGTCGTACAAGAGTGCTCAGACCTTGTACGACGCCGTTATTGCACGCTACTCCTCCCCTGCCACTCATGCACTGAGCCGCCTCATGCTACCGTACCTCTTTCCCGACCTTGCTTCTTTTGCCACAGTCGCCGACCTCATTACCAACCTGCGCACTAGTGACGCTCGCTACCGCGCTGCGCTTCCTGCTGAGTTCTGCGCCAAGAACCCCCCCCCCCCCCCCATGTACATCACTCTCTACTACATTGTCACCCGCCTCCCTGACTCCCTTCGCGGAGTCAGGGACGACTTACTCTCAGTCTGCCCCACCACTCTCACTGTTGACCTCCTCGAGAAGTCCCTCCTAGCGGCCGAGAAGAGCATTCTCGCTGTAGGGGCCTCTCGTGGTGACCCGCGCACCCCCATCTTTGAGGGGTGTTCCCCCTCCCCCCTCCTGCCCTCTGTCGCCTCTGCTGCTACGGCCGACCTAGTTGGTTTTGAGTCGGTCGGTGCGGCGTCTGCTCCCAGTGGGAGACGTCGCCCTGGCAAGGGCAAGGGGGGCAGGGGCGGTGGTGGAGGCGGCGGGGGCGGTGGAGGCGGCGGTAGAGGCAGCGGAGGAGGTGGGGGTGGTCGCGGTAGTGGTGGCGGGAGGGGAGGTGTCAGCGGCGGCAGTGGAGGCGGAGGCGGCGGCGGCGGTGGTGGTGGGAGTGGAGGCGGGGGCGGCGGTGGTGGCGGCGACGGTGGGAGTGGCGGTGACAGCGGAGGTGGTGGCGGCGGCGGCGGCGGAGGCGGCGGCGGAGGTCGTGGCTCGTCGCAGAGGAGTGGCTCCGGTGGTGGTCAGCGCCAGCAGCAGCAGCGTGGTCGGGAGACTCTCTCCCCGCAGCAGCTCCGTGAGTGGTACGCTGCACGTCAGAGGGGTGGGGGTACTGGTCCGTGCACCTACGTCCTGCGCACTGGCGACCGTGCGGGTGAGCCGTGTGGTGGTCCACACTCCACCCAGCGCTGCTTCGGCCGCCTGACTGACGCTTGGCGCCGCCAGTTTCCTGACGCCTCTGAGATCCCTCGCTGGGACCAGCTGTCTAGGGCAGGAGTAGCTATCTTTGATCTTGACTTTGATGCTATTCTTCGTGCCATGTATGCTGTGACTATTAGTGAGGAGGGTGACTGTTACCGGTGTTTCCCGCCCGACCCGGGCATTGGTACTGCGGCTCTAGGTGCTGTTGAGGCTGCCGCTCCAGGTGCTGGTGAGGCTGTCGCTCTAGGTGCTAGTGAGTCTGTGTCCTCAGGTGCTGGTGAGTCTGCTCTCTCAGGTACTGCGTCGGCACCGCCCTCTCTCACCTTCACTCTTGACTCAGGAGCGTCTCGCTCCTTCTTTTGAGACCGCACCACACTCACGCCGCTTAGTCGGCCAGTGGCACTCTCCCTGGCGGACCCCTCTGGGGGTCCTGTTCTGGCTCGCTACTCCACTGTCCTTCTGTGCCCTGCGGTCCTGTCTGGCTCCCTGTCGGGTCTGTACCTCCCCTCGTTCTCTACGATCTTGGTGGCGAGTGCTGACCTACAGGATGCAGGGGTTGACCAGTTCACCCCTGCGCGCCGACGGGACACCCACTGCACGCACACGGACACGGGTCGACACTTGACCACGTTCACACGTGGGCCGGGGTCGAGCATGTACACACTCACTATTCCGTCTCCTCCTCCTGCGTCTAGTCAGGTAGCTGTGTCGGGTCAGGTGTTTGCTGCAGCGTCCAGGTCTGGTCCTGAGTCTGCCCCCTGCTCGTGTCGCCTCTTGTCCCACGAGACCCTCCTGTGGCACCACCGCATGGGTCACCTCTCCCTGCCTCGTCTCCGGGGCATGGCCTCTCGCCTTCTTGTCTCTGGTCTTCCCTGGTCCCTCCCTCCCCTTCCTCTGGGGCCTGGCCCTCCCTATGTCCCCTGTGTCGAGGGTCGCCTGCGGGCTACCCCTCACTCCTCCACGTTTCCTCCGACGGAGGCCCCGATGCAGACGCTTCACATGGACGTGTGGGGCCCAGCCAGCGTCCGTGGACAGGGTCACGAGCGCTACTTCCTGCTGGTGGTTGACGACTACTCGCGTTACACCACAGTCTTCCCCTTGCGTAGCAAGGGTGAGGTCACTTAGGTGTTGATCGACTGGATCCGCGCAGCTCGTCTCCAGCTCAGGCGGAGCTTCGGCTCGGACTTTCCTGTTTTGCGTCTGCACTCGCACACAGGCGGAGAGTTCTCCTCCGGCCTTCTGCGAGCCTACTGTCGTGCACGAGGCATCCGCCAGACCTTCACACTTCCGGACTCTCCACAGCAGAATGGGATTGCTGAGCGCCGCATCGGCATAGTCATGGAAGTCGCCCGTACGTCCATGGTGCATGCGGCTGCCCCCCATTTTCTGTGGCCGTTTGCGGTTCGGTACGCCGCGCATCAGATCAACCTTCAGCCCAGGGTCTCCAGACCGGAGACATCCCCAGCTTTGCTGTGGACGGGGAAGGTTAGCGATGCGTCGGCGTTCCGTGTCTGGGGATCTCGGGCGTTTGTCCGCGACTTGTCTGCGGACAAGCTGTCCCCTCGTGCTGCTCCTTGCGTCTTCCTGGGTTTCCCCCCTGATGCACCTGGGTGGCAGTTTTACCACCCCATCTCTCGTCGTG